GGCTGTAGGTAAGACCAGGCACAAGTTACACAGGTTATGTGTTTTATTCTTAATTCTCCTTTTTTCTTCTTGTTCTTCTATACGTCCTAACCTATTGTTACTTCCCTTGGGAGGGGGAACAGGTGAAGGCGGATGTGCCATCGACCGTCGGCTGGTTAGACCGGGGCTGGGCCTCCATGGATTCGAGATGGGATATGACATAGACCCTCCTTGTCGTCCCCTTAGTGGGCTACCGGGAGGCATGGGCTTGCTCTTTTATCAGACGCAATGCCTCTGAAGGTGTTGTCATTAAACGTTAAAGGCTTGAACGCCCCAAGTAAACGCCGCCTCATGTTCAGAGAACTTAAACGTCTGAGCCCAGATATTGCCTTCCTCCAGGAGACACACCTCTCCGCGTCGGCTAAATTTACCCTGAAGGATCATACGTTCAGAACAGTCTATGAGGCGAGGGCTTTAAACAAAAGAAATGGAGTTGCCGTGGTTATCCACCACAGATGCCCGTTGAGGGTGGGAAAGGTGGTGGCAGACCCGGGCGGCCGTTTCATTCTGGTATCAGGGAACTTATACTCTCATTCGGTGCACTTACTTAACATATATGCACCAAACACCCCTTCGGTTGAGTTTTGGGATGGAATAACACAAATGGTAAACTCGTTGCCACACGGCATGACTGTGGTAGGGGGTGATCTGAATGCCACCCCGTGTCCTGCAGTAGATAGGGGTCTGGGCAACAGGTTGCCGCGGTCCCACGGAAGAGGTGGTCAGGATAAAATACTCCGCACCTTTATGCATCGTACTGGCCTAGTTGACATCTGGAGAGCGCATCACCCTGACGATCGGGACTATACTTTCTATTCGGCTCCCCACGATACTTATTCAAGGATAGACTTATTTTTAGTGAACTCTCACACGGTCTCTAGGGTGTCCAGTACCTCGGTTGGTTCAATTACATGGTCGGATCACGCTGAGATTACGATGACCTTGGATAACCTGTGTACGGCGTCTCCGTGGACCTGGAAGTTGAATACTTCCTTGCTTCAGGATCCAGCCATAGTGGAGATCGCTCGCAAGGAACTATTAGAATACTTTACCAAGAATGCGGAGTCGGGTCCTCGACCTGCTACAGTGTGGGCCGCCCATAAGACAGTTATCCGGGGTATATTGATACGCGAAGCCACGCTTAAAAAGAAACGTAAAATGCAACTACTGACATCTCTCCTAGAGGCTCTTGGGAAAGCGGAAGAAAAACATAAAGCTGCCTCATCACCCGCCACTTTGAAAGACGTACAGAAACTACGGGCATCAGTCCGCGAAACACTCTTAGACGAGACTGCCAGAGCGATAGTTTGGTCTAGAAGGACTTACTATGAAAAATCTAACAAAATGGATACTCTGTTAGCTAGATCTCTTCGTCCGAGACAGAATCACTCTCATATTACGAGAATCAAAGACGCATCAGGTAAGTATCGCACGGATCCTACCGACATAGCTAAGGTGTTTACGGATTACTATACTAAATTATATAATCATTCCAGCGGGGCGGCGAATAACCAGGGGAAAGATATAGATAGTACGCAGGCTTTCCTAGCACCATTGAAGCTACCTACGTTGCGGGGAGAGGACTCTTTTGCCCTTGGAGAGAGGATTACAGCAGAGGAAATTGATGCTGCGATCACAGCTTTAAAAGGCAATAAAGCTCCGGGCCCGGATGGCTTTGATGGCAGCTACTATAAGATATTCCGAGAGGAACTTACACCCCATCTTGAAAAGTGGTTTAATGATCTAATGGAGGGAGGAACGCCAGATAAGGACATGTCACTGGCGGACATCGTGCTACTACCGAAACCTGGCAAAGACGACTCGTTACCCGAAAACTTTCGCCCGATCTCTTTAATAAACCATGATTCTAAAATCCTTGCTAAGATTTTAGCTCGCAGACTGAACCCCTTGTTACCACGTTTAATACACCCTGACCAAGTAGGCTTTGTTCCAGGAAGGCAACTCTTTGAGAACACTAGGCGTAACATTGACCTCATATGGCGGCAAGCAACCAGGGGGATTCCGACTTTGATACTGTCACTCGACGCAGAGAAGGCTTTCGATAGGGTAAAATGGCCGTATTTGTTTGAGACTCTCCGTAGCTTTGGTATCCCAGACCCCTTCATAACTACGATAAAGGCAATGTACTCGGATGTTAGGGCTCGGGTCCGGATCTCGGGTGCAAAGATAGAACCTTTTAGTTTGGGGAATGGAACTAGGCAGGGGTGCCCGCTGTCGCCTCTGTTGTTCGCACTCTCTTTGGAACCCCTTTTACAAACCATCAGAAATAGCCCAGAAATCAAGGGGATAGGGATCAGGGATCAGCGCTATGTGGTATCTGGCTTTGCCGACGATATATTGCTGACCCTGACGGAACCGATAAAATCTATGGAGGCGCTGATGACAGTGTTGGAGGCCTATAGTGAACTTGCCGGATATAGAGTGAACCTTACTAAATCAAGCGCACTTCCCATTAGCATGATTGATACGGATGTAACTCACATAGGCGATACCTATCAGATCCACATAGCGAAGGACCATATAAAATACTTGGGGGTCCGGCTGACAGCGGACCCTACTCAACTATTTCAGCAAAATTATGCGCCCTTGATTCGCACCTTGATAGGAGACATGGAGAAGTGGATTGATAGACCGATTTCTTGGATAGGCAGGATCCATTCAGTGAAAATGAATATCCTCCCCAGGATCTTGTTTCTCTTCCAAGCTCTCCCGGTCAGACTGTCTAAATCTGATTTAGGGGCCCTTCAACAGGCCATTGGAAAATTCATCTGGCAAAATAGGAAACATAGAGTTTCACGTAACGTGCTATATAGGGCGAAGGCGAAGGGCGGCTTAGGTCTACCTAATCTTTATTTCTATTATTTGGCGTCCCAACTAGCTCAAATAGCACTCTGGCATGCTCCTCCGGAAGAGAGGCGGTGGGTAGACCTAGAGGCTAATCTTATGGGACCTGATGTCCCTCAATTTTATATGTGGGTCCCTAGGGACCAAAGACCATCTAACCACGTTTACTGCCCAGCTATCGCAAATTCCCTGAAAATCTGGGATGCAACATCAATCAAATATGGTTTGTCCTCACACTTGTCCCCGCTGGCCCCCTACCTGAGGAATAAAGCCTTCACCCCGGGATTGGAGGCCAGAACCTTCAGGGGCATCGAGAGCACGGGGATACAATGTTTATATCATCTATACGAAGGTGGTGCACTTATATCCTTTGAAGAATTGAAGACTAGAGCTACTCTGCACCCCTCTGACTTTTTCCGCTACATCCAACTAAGGGACTTTGCCCAAAACCCGCAGATTAAGCTAAGCGCCTTAACCCCGTTTACTTTTTTCGAAAGGACGTGCATTCAGGAACAATTCCCGAAAGGCCTCATTACCAATTTATACGCACATCTCAGTACGACTACATCGGAATGGGGGGAGCTTCATTACACGACGCAATGGGAACAGGACCTGAATGAGGAATTGGAAGGCGTTGAATGGCAGGAAATCTGGGAAGCAGCGGCGACCTCTTCTATTTGTGTCACTTTTCAAGAGCAAGCCTACAAGACTATGTTCAGGCTGTACGCTACTCCAGCAAAGCTTTGTAGGATGCATAAAATGGCTACGGATGTTTGCTGGAGAGGATGCGGCCAGAAGGGAACGTACATACATATGTGGTGGGTCTGTCCAGAGGCACAACAATTTTGGAACCAGGTCGCTGTTCTATTGGGAAACATCTTTGGTAGGGTAGTTAAGCCGGATCCATGGGTGTTCCTTCTGGCCAGGTCTATGGAGAACTGGTCCAGATCGGAACAAAATTTGCTCCATAAGGTAACCCTGGCTGCCAGGAGGGCCCTGGCCCAGGTGTGGCTACAGGGAGAGACTCCCCCTCTTGATGTGGTAATACAAAAGATTAAAGACACTTACCTCATGGACGAGTTGACTGCTCGGGTCCGGGGCACTAGAAAGAAATTGGACAAAATTTGGGGCCCGTGGATAGAAAGCGGGGTTGGCGATTAGGGGGAAGGGGGATGGGCTCGTCTCCTTCATACCCCAACATACCTCTGCTGACTCTGGGGGGGATAGCACCTCTATAGCTCCATTGCTTAGTTGGTCCTTTTGGTCCCCACTGAGGCGCCTACGGTCTATAGTTCTCCTCATGGGCTTGGAGGTCCATCCTTAGGCTTTGCAGGTTTGGCTGCACAGCCGACTGGTCGAGCTAGCATTATTGCCAATTCTTGGAATACCACCAGCATACTCCCTCCCTCTCCTATTCTCCTCTTATTTTCTACTCTTATGGTACTTTCCATGCGGTTAATCTTCTTTTTTTCCACTTCCTTTTATCTCTTTTTCTTTTTCCCTTATTTTTACTCCCTGTCTGGCTACTGTCCAGCGACCACTTAGCTAACATGAGCCTTTTTGGGTTGAGGCGGGCTGTGGGGCCTTTTTTGGCGGATCGCTAGTTAAATGGTACTACAATATTGTTGACCTTACACGTTAGATATGCATATGATAGTTTGGTTTGACGCCTACTATTTATTAAAGGTTAAGGTGGAATGAAGTAACGAGCTGCCATTTAGTCAGACAGGATTCTGTATATCATATAATATAAAATCGATTGGAGGCTGCAGTAGACAGATAATAATGGTTGGAGGACGTATGTCATACTCAGTGAACATGTTTGGTTGTAAGGGCAGCTAATCATGTTGTATTCTGATTAATATCGAATATTGTTTGTGATGTTTGTCCTCTTATTGCATTGTAATGATTGTTTTGCTGTGGTATCTAATCTTGTTATAAATAAAGAATTTAAAAAAAAAAAAAAGACGGATCCTCCGACACCAGTGCACGGAGAATGACCTAAGCTTTTACCCGCTACCCGCATGAAACTCCTCGCCTGTCGGGTGAGTGGAGGCGGCCATCCCCGGCCTACCAACGGCTGAGAATCCGACCGCATGCGCATCCGTGGGGAAGCGCTGAGCCGAGGCACCCGGGCAGAAGAAGCCACGAGAGGAATACTCCGACAAAGAGCAACTCCCGGTGGGGGTTATCCCGGCCACATGGCGACCGCTCGTGCCGTGACGGGAGCCCCCGCTGCGGTAACGTGCTGGACGCCTATACTGGCAAAGCCTGCATACAGCACAGCCAGCCAGCAGATGTGGGAGCTGATAAGGTGGAAGCCATCCGCCTTCAAGAGGAAGCACCTAGGAAGGGTGTGGAGCAGAGCAGTGTGGAGGACGGCCAGCCGGCAGATGTGGACACTGCCACGGTGGGGAAGGTACACTCACCTGAGGAGGCAATCAGGCAGAGATAAAGGAGACCTGCACTAATACAGAGGTTGGAGACCTAATGCAGCTGCACCCCACTGCCTGTGTATGTTCTCCCTCAAGCCACCAGTGACTGATCAGAGCTGTAGTAACCATGAAGAATACCCACCATGGCGAGCTGATCCAAACGGCCGATACGGACTCTGGCATTGCTGAGCACCAGATGGATCCCTCGTGACGACTGCCCGCCCGTCAGAAAAAGTGAGTGCCCAGGCATCTGGGTCTGGGAGGTCCCCGGAGAGCCTTGTCCCTGATGCTGGGAGCCCTGTGGGGCTGGTCTGCGTGGCCCCCCCGGTGGACCGGTGGCCGGGGGCGGCGGGCACCGGCTCCAAGTATGTGGCCGGCGCCAGGAGAGACATTGGGACACTCGCTTCCCTGGGCGGTGTTGGGGAGGTGCAGGGAGCAGGAGGCCCGCGGACTCTAGGTGTGGGGGTCAAGTGGACTGCCTTTGCCACCGAGTGCCCACAGCACCGCGGGGGACCCATGTGATGGGCTGGGGTCGCTCCGGGGAGGACGGACGGAGACTCGGCATTCCCAGGAGATGCACTGCGGCCGTGCCACGGGAGGCCCTCATCGGACAGATACTAAGACCAGCCTGGCTCCTTTACTGTTACAGTTATTACCGTTAATTTATTTTTGCTTTGTTCTGTATACATCCATCCTTACCGCATGCCTAGTTCACGACGCATTAGACGCAGTAATAGGGCTGCTAGCTATGCCTAAACCCCTGCTTCACGATGCCTGACTAACATATCGTATAAAAACATGTGTACTTGAGGTATCAATGGGACCCGAATATAGTTTTGGTAGGGACGCTACAGAACGACACCCCACGTGGTCCTGCTGTCTTCAGCTGACAAACCTTATTAAATGGCAAAATACAACACCCTCTACCACAACACACGCCATATTGCTATATATCGCCTCACCGGGAGACAGGCAGCCACCCGACGCTCGCTTTCACAGTGCTCAGGAGATAAGCTCCGTTCAAGACACCTAGCGCATGCACCTGGCTCAAGAAGAGCCCGCTTAACGCACACAGCCCTGAACATTTAGCCACGCATCTAAGCAAGAACTGCACGTATTGACCATTTCATACTTAGCACCCGCATATAACATGCACAACTTTTGAATCTTAACTGAGCTTCCCTTTTGTCAGTCCTAATGCTATAGTTTTTTTAGATTTTATACAAAGCCAAAACAATAGGAATCTAACAACGGATAAGAATATATGGCACATAGCAGCGAAAGGTGAACAACAATGTCACGCTAAACGGTCCTCTGCGCAGGCAACCGAATGTTTCCACCGTTATAAATTGATGCTTAAGCCCCTGCGCGGGCAATCACTTGCTTCGTTATTTGACAAAACAGTTTGATACATGCATCCATGGTATGAATACAATAAAAATATTTAAAACAAAATATATAAAAAAAATATATATAACGAAAAAATAAAAAAATAAAGAGAATAATGAAAAAATAATAATAATGAAAATAAAAATAAATAATAATAAATATGAAGATGAAAATAATAATAATAAATAAAAATAATAATAAATAAATGACAAATAAGGAAAATATAATTGAAAATATAAATAAAAATAAAAATGAAAATAAAATAAAATATAAAATAAAAAAATAAAAATGGAAATAAAGAATAAAATATATATATATACTAAAAAATCTTTATCAAGAGCATACACACTTATAAGGTGAACAAAACGTGATGTCCCAACCTATGTTGCATTTTCTCCACCATTCCATAGGATATAAAATATCCATAATACCTCTAAATGAATCTTTTTTTCTTTTTTTCTTTTTTTCCATAAGTGGAATTTCTCCAAAGAAAGACTCAATCAATTTAAGGTCAATATCACCACTTAATTGGAATTAGATGATTTAAATAGAATAAAAAATTAAATTGAATCGGGAAATGTAGATTAGAATTCAATGAATTTAAATTTGATATAATTAGAATTCAACTAGAATTAAATAGATCTTAATTTAAATATAAACAAACAAGGGGGGATGATTTAATCATCCCAATACCCACTTTAAATTCAATGGTATAAAAAATATATCTACTTTCCATACCACAAAAAGATAAAAAATATAATATATATGGAAAAAATGCAGCATTTACATTAATAGTGCAGAGGGAAAAAAGTATATATGTATTTTTAATTTTCAAAAAAACTACACAAATCTATATCTAAGTTTAATCCATCTGGTTGCAACGTCTTTAGTTTGTTTATCCAGAAAGTCTCTCTCTGTGAAAGTTTCTTCATTAGATTGCCCCCTCTCCAATAAGGATCAACCTGCTCTATACCCATGAAGGAAAAGTTGTTCCAATTAAATTCCATGCAATTAATGCAATGAATCGGTACTATATGTTTTGTTGACTTTTTCCTAATGTTATTTTGATGTTCCAAAATCCTCTCTTTTAATTTTCTACCAGTTCTTCCCACATACTGTTTCCCGCATGGGCAATGTAGCATGTAGACCACAAACTTGGAGTTGCAATTTATATTAGATTTAACCTTAAATTTCTCTTTGGTAGTTGTACTTATAAATTCTTTTCTTTGTATATATCTCTGATTTTTACAAGCCTTACATGAATTGCAAGGATTAAAACCTTTGATGTTTAAGATTGTACCTTTCCGTGGAATTTTTAACGCGTAACTTGGGGCTAATATGTTTTTGAAATTTTGTTTTTTTTTTGAAGATTATTGGTGCTTTTTTTGGAAGTACTTTTCCTAATATAGGATCTTTACATAGGATATCCCAATGCCTATTTTTTTTTATATTCCAATGCTGTGTGTTATATTATGTAATAAACGAAAATTGATAATCTTTTTTTGTTATTTTTTTTTGGGTTAGATTTCAAAAGATCTTTCCTATCTTTCTTTTCAATTTCTTTAACCCCTTAAGGACGGAGCCAAATGTACACGTTGTGAACAAAACAAAATGTAAACAAAACCTGGCATTTGTGCTACATGTCTGTCCAACCGTAATTCACCTCTTTCATAGTAAATGCACCCACCCTTATTATATATAATTTTATTCAGGGGAAACAGGGCTTTCATTTAATATCAAATATTTAGCTATGAAACATAATTTAATATGAAAAAAATGGGAGAAAATATGATTTTTTTGGATTTTTTTAGTTCTACATGACATTTTAACTGGTCAATGTCATAATACTGTTTGCTTTTACTGCAATAAAATACACATATTTGTATTCAGCAAAGTCTCACGTGTAAAACAGTACCCCCTATGTACAGGTTTTATGGCGTTTTGGGAAGTTACAGGGTCAAATATAGCACGTTACATTTGAAATTGAAATTCGCCAGATTGGTTACGTTGCCTTTGAGACTGTATAGTAGCCCGGGAATGAAATTTACACCCATAATGGCATACCATTTGCAATAGTAGACAACCCAAGGTATTGCAAATGGGGTATGTCCAGTCTTTTTAGTAGCCATTTGGTCACAAACACTGGCCAAAGTTAGCGTTAGTATTTGTTTGTGTGAAAAATGCAAAAAAACACCAATTTTGGCCAGTGTTTGTGACTAAGTGGCTACTAAAAAAGACTGGACATACACCGTTTGCAATACCTTAGGTTGTCTACTATTGCAAATGGTATGCCATCATAGGGGTAATTTTCATTCTTGGGCTACCATAGGGTCTCAAAGGCACCGTAACCAATCTGGCGAATTTTAATGTGAAAACAATGAAACGCAAGCCTTATATTTGACACTGTAACTTTTGAAAACACCATAAAACCTGTACATGAGGGGTACTGTTGTACTCAGGAGACTTCGCTGAACACAAATATTTGTGTTTCAAAACAGTAAAAAATATCACAGCAATAATATTGTCCGTGTAATGCCGTTTGTGCGTGAAAAATGCAAGAAACGTCACTTTTACTGGCGATATCATCGTTGTAATACATTTTACTGTTTTGAAACACTAATATTTGTGTTCAGCGAAGTCTACCGAGTAGAACAGTACCCCCCATGTACAGGTTTTATGGTGTCTCGGAAAGTTATAGGGTTAAATATAGTGCTAACAAATTAAATTCCCTTTACTTTCGGCATGGGTTGTCAGGCAGGTCCCGCTAATTGTAATTAATTAAGATACCTAATTATGTAAAAATATTACATAAATATATATGTAGAATTAATATATGTATATATATAATATATGTATATATATATATATATATATATATATATATATATGTATATATCTATATAATTTTTTTAAAATATTTTTATTTATATATAGGTATATATATAGTGATATATACGTATATATTTATGTATATAGATATATATTATTTCATTCTACGTGTATTTTGATATATATATATATATAAATTAATTTCACAATACAGTTAGAACGAAATAACACACATCTATATATTTTTTAATTATTTATTTTTAATTATTTTTTGAATTTTATTTTTTAATGTATTTACATTTTTTATTTTTTTTATATTATATATAAATATATATATAACAATAATTATATATATATATTTAATCAGTATCAGTCTACATGTAATTTGATATTAATATATATATATATAATTATATATATATTAATAGTAAAATACACTTAGACAGTGTACGTGTGTATATGTATATGTGTATATATATACTTAGATCATATATATATAATATATATATATGATCTAAGTATATATTATTTTTTTTTACAATATTTATTTTATTTTATTTTATTTTCAGCCAGCAGGGGGACCACCTGTCATTACAGGCAGTCCCCCTGCTGGCAATGCTGCAGCCAGCTACCCCCGGCCATGTGATTGTGGGGTCCTCGCAAGGACCCCACTCTCACATGGCCGGGGGGCTTCCAGGAGGACGGACGTGCCGCGGGGGGCTCCCTGGGAGTCCCCCGAACCGCGATCGCCGGCGTGGGATAGCCGGCGACCGGGTAAGTAGGAAAAGACCGGAGGGCGTACTATTACGCCCGGCGGC